ACTAGCACCATAACATCCAAAACACAACTGTGACTGATCCCTGTGACAGGATTTAAACATGTTGCCCAGGAGTGCCACCAAAACTCTTCCACACCACACAGGGAATACCTCGGTGCCCCGTGGCAGGACAGTCAATTCATTGAAACTGTTCTTGTGCAAGGATGAATATTAAATGCAGGGATGCTTTTTTTGTGAAGTCACAGCACAGATCCATCTTTTGATGAAAGAATGTTTCAAATTACAGTCTCAGACAGAAATGGCCCTTCCTTTTAACCAGGAACCAACCTCCCTGGAGCACCCCAGCTACCCTAGTTCATGTCTGATAAAATCACAGTTCATCTTTCTCACTTTCTGATGGAAATAGGGGATGATAACTGAGTCCAGTCTGAGTCAGGTTTCTATTCCCAAATATTTTAGCCCTTGAGGGGACTAACAGCAGTTTAAACTGGGGACTAGGCCTTTTCCAGTGCCTGCTGCACTTATTAATACTCAGTAATTTAAAAAAATATTTTATCTCTAATAATAAATGTAGATTAAAAAAAATCTTTTTCTCATTCAATCTGATCTCTGTTTTCTGTCTGACGTTTCACCAGAATGTTCACTCAAGATAAATTTCTATTGCACATTCAGTCTGTAGTTAATGTATAGGAAATAGACAATTTCCTTTTTGTTTAAAACATTAAAAATATCTAATTATGTTACAGGGAAATCAAGGCATTATCACAAATACCAGAGAGAAACCTATGAACTAAATATAAGTTGCTCAGATCCATGTAACTTGATTCTGGGATCACTGCCACCATCAATCTTTCCCTCATACCATTGTTTCCTTTCCTCCCACCAGTTTTCAGTGCAGATTCTTAACTGAATGAAAAATGCCCATCACAAGAAGCCATCCTTCATCCTCCAGCTACAAACTCCCACCACCTGTCTCGGAGAAAAACTTGGTCATAATCTTGTGTGCTCAGTCAGATGATCCCACCCATCTGTGTGAAATACTAACAAAGAGTAAAATAAAGATAATTTTTCAGGTTTTGTTTCATCTGGCAACAGAGCATTAGAACTGCTGCTGCTGACAGAAATGAAGCAGAAACAAGAGATCACTGAAAATGAGAGGACAGATCTATTCCTTTCCTCCATTTGAACCACTTGTGTAGCAAATCCAAGGCATGAACCAATGCAAAAGCCTTTTCTACAGCCTGGAGACTATTCTGCCTCTCCATGTGAGTCAGTCTCCCCCTCCAGCACATTCATGAGGCATGTAGACATCCGCTGAGCTTTTTCAGGAGCAGAAGCACAGTAATTCTTTCTGATTCCTGGCTTTGTATTGTATAGCTGTGGAATTCTACATTAGTTTCTATCTTCTGTATCTATTATAATGACTAAAAAATAAAATAATATTTCATAAACGGGAAAGATCATGTTGAAGGTATAAGTGAGAGAAATTACAATGAATTCTAAAAAAATAATAATACTTACAGAAAAATGTATTTGCACTAGTTCTTATCTATTTGGAAACAGTAGACAGAAGTTACGACTGATACAATTAAATGAAACATATATTACTTTAGGCAGATAGATATTTAAATCCAGACTCCTCCTGTTCACTTTCAATTGCAAGGTGTTCACAAATTACAAAGCACAGTTCATATATCAATTTTAAACAAATGTTTTACTACCATACCAAATAAAGAACTGGAAATTATAAAAATACTGTTGGAGGTGATTCTCCTTCAAAGTCTTACACAATCCTATATCTCTGAATGACAGAAAAATGGATAAGGTTAAAGTCTTTGAAGCACATCAATGTGTGAATACAAAATACGTTACCCAGAGTTCATGCTTTGGTTGCACTGCCACTACATAAAACAGATTCATTCAGACACAAAAGACATGCACTGAAGATCAGTGAGGTACAATCATAGACAGAACCTTACCAAAAAATAACACACTGATCTGTACTCACTACTAAAACAGACAAGTGGTAAACACTAATACAGAAATATCAAGGAAAAGTCTCTTTTTTGAAAAATACATTTCAAGAGATGCCAAAGATAGGTGCAGTATAAAACAGTTTTCCTAGAATTTTTTCACTCTCTGTCTTTACAGCAATTTCTCCTCTTATGTCCCTCTTTTTCAATAAGAAAATCTCTTATTGAAAAGGCTCTGGCTCACATCCTTAATGTTCAATTATTTGAGTTACTGAACACTCATTATTGAAATTAGTGCAAATTAAGCATGTGTTAATGGCATCAATTCATGATAGCATCACTCTTTATGACAGTACATAAGCACTCTCTTTTCTGAATTCTGGTCTAATAACAGTACTAGTTAGGAATATGTTTAAGTGTGTGCTTGTGCAGTGATGGTCAGAAAAATATGACTCCCAAAAAATGTCATCCCAACTAAGAGTAAACAAACTTTTTATCCAGGGAAGTTTTAAAAATGATTGCAGCATCTAACTCCAATTAATTATACTGTTTGTTTCTTGCTATTTTTTTAAAGTATCACTTTGATTTCTTGAAATCAAGTGTCTACATGCAGACTAGAAAAAAAATACGTGGGACTAAAATAACATATTTATTACATGTCATGTTACAGTTCATTGCATTCTCATTCCTATTTGCGCTCATAGTACTATGAGAAACTAAAATTATTTCATCAGAAACAAATGAAGTACGCAGAAAAGTTTGTCAACAGACAGAAGCAAGTGTATCCATAAGCCAAATAGCCATAATATCCAATATTTTTAATACTCCATTACATCGTTCCATAGATAACAGAGATGAAAGACTTCTTATCCATCCCTTTCCAGCTCTGAATGCTTTCTGTTCTCCAATTCAGTCACTGGAGGCTGATTGGCAACTGACAACCACATGAACAGAAAAAGCTAACTAGATGAGCCAGAGAAGAGCAGGCTGTGAAACTGGTATTTCCTCTTGTGAAGTGTCAAGTTTCCTTTGTTTAAAGGTGAATTTAATGAAACTCAGGAACACACTAAATCTGGGCTTTGCATCACAGAGCAAGATTTTCAAGCACATATCATATTTTTTCTGCTCTTCAAGTACGTATCCAACATACTGCTGAAGCTACCTTCATCCCTCCTACAGAGGAATGTGTTCAACATACTGTCAAAAAGCATCAACCTACATTATGGAATTAAAACTGACATGTTTCTTTTGGACTGAAGATTTTGTGAAAAAGAGACTCTAAAAAACCAATAAATTATAGCAGATCACTGTTGTTAATGATACTGCACTTCTACGCTCAGTCCAACAGTCAGAAGAGCTTGGTACCCAGAAAGTTCGTACCACAAATAATGCCAGCCATCCTCGTCATCTGGGCTTTCTCTCAACCACTCCTATATTTCATCAGCTAAACACTGAAATAAAGTTTACATTAAAATTGGATCTTCTGTCACACTTCCTTGCAGTACAACTACACATTATCTCACATTCTCTATTAAACTTTGGGGCTGAACACTGGAGTAACATTTCCTCTGAAATGTGTATTGTATATCATATATTACTACGCCTGTTACCAACTAGACTATAAATACAGTAATCCTTTATGAGAAATTCAGAGGAGGGAGCATATTCTACAGAAATATTGGGGGGAGTAGGCAGCCCTTCATGTAACATTTTCTATTCTTAGCTATTAATCATGTCTTTATCTTTAGTACTGAACATCCTTACCTACAGCCAAATGCTAATCCCATTAATCCTCTTTAAAGATCTGTAAGGTCTTCTGTGTAATGCTGACTTTTACTTAATGCATATCTTAATTTTACAGCGATTTTTGCAAGCTCACTTGAGACCAGTTTCTTTTGGAGAAAGGAGGAAAGACTGCACTTTTCCATAATGAAGATGATGCATTTAGAAATAGAAATGAAATGTCAAATGCTGTCAGCCAGCAATAGTCAACACCAAAAAGTCAGTCCAGAAAGACTACTACTGAAGGATTTCTACCAAAGCTCTCACCACAAAAAGGATGGAGAACTGGTCCTATGGTTTTGGGGCGACGTAGCCCATCTTGGAGAAGGTTCTACAATGCATAAGGATTCTTTTAATTCCCCCTCCATAACACATCTTTTCCATTAGAAACAAACAAATTTCAAGAAGGTAATTACCCAGCAATCCATACCACACATTCTATACATTAATACCACTTGGCTTTGGCTGACTGAGCAGCATTGTGCAGTAGCAAACCAAATCTACAAAACCAGGCTGTATGCAAAGTGGACCAAATCACACACCGCGCTCTTAGGACTGGGGATTTCACACAGTGATTTTGAGTACAATGACCATAGCACTGTTACAGGCCTTCCAACTTCTGTTGATACAAATTCTTCCAAATGTAGGGTTATGACTTTTTCTCCAACACTAAGAATGTGAAGGTCGTTATGCTTAATGGCCAGAACCTTGGCCAACACCAGTCTGTTTTCCATGGAATGAGCAAGCAATGGCAGCTGGATAAGAATTTCTGAAAGTTGTAGATCTCTTGGACAACTTCGGGGAACTCACAATAGTGAAGTAACAGGAAATGGAGAACAGATATAAATGTAATCTAAGATTGAAAGCCAAAAGTCTGTATCCATGGTCAGGATAAGACAAGCTCAGAATTATCCTTGGGTATTTTGCTATATCCATTCCTTCCTGCTCTAGTATCTGCATTCTGTATAAATCTGAATTGATTAATTATCATCTAATCACACTTTTTAACATACTGGAGAGAACAAATGGCTGATTGAAAAGAGAAATGTTCCATTTCAACTTTTTAAATTTAGGGATTAATAAAATCATCACCATATGGATGAAATGGATGAGAGTAACTAATCCCATTTAATTAAGGCTTTCTTTGTAAAGGTGTAAGAGATGCTACAAAATCCTTCTGCGTTATCATTTAGGATTAAAATTGAAAGCTTAGGTAGGATGGTCCAGTTAAATAGCATAGCCTGTGATTCTGCATTTTCTTAGAGCTGGAAAAAAAATGTATGTGTGTTCAGGAAAGATAAATCTTAGGGATATTTATTTTAAAATACCAGTACAATACCTCTTCAAAATACCAGTATCAGTTCTACAGTTGATCACAAGAGGGAGACTACATCATCATATTTCCTCTCATTGTTTCAAATTTTTAAAGCATACAAACAAATTGAGTCATTTTGGACCAGCTCTAATCTTTGCTCAGTTAAATGTATTAATAACTATTCAATTAGTATTTTTATTTTCTGAGTTTGTCAAACCTCTGAAATTTACAGATAAAGATAGCCAATCCAGTAAACAAGATTGAACAATGCAAAGGCAGTTGGAAAGAAGATTCGAGAATAGGAGTCAATTTTTGCTATACGGATGTGTATTCTTCCTTGTCGCCAAGATCCTGTGCGGCAGTCTTCAAAACAACAAAAGAAACTAGCACAGTCTTTTCCTTCTAGGCACTCATATCCATAATCATCATCACGTTCAGGAAGATGATTAATGCTATTAATTGGAATTAGTGTTGATCCAGGTCGAACAGCAATTGCAGATGGTTTCTTAAGGAAAAAAAAAAAAAGGAAATATAGTTTTGTGTGGTTTTATCCTCACATTAAATAATTCCATAGGCTTTCTCTAGTAATATAATCACCTTCAGTACAAAATACAGAAATTCTTATATTAAAGAAAACAGTTTGGGGAGCTTAGAAAATTATGAACTGCTGTATGTAATTAGCACATGCAGGCAAAAGATCATGAACGACTTTCACCTGCCACAGTGAAAATTGGGTTGTGCTGGGATTTGGGAATAGTAGCTAATTAGTTACACAGACAGGGTTAGCTGATCCCATCTACACAACACAGACAAACATTTTGAAGTCAGTCACTTCTTGACAACTGGGTCACAACCAAGTCCACAAGCAGGCTATAATCATCACTAACAAAGGAATGATGGTCCTCCCATCTTTTGGAGTCTTTAGAAGGAGACTGGATGTGTTTCTGGAAGCTACATTTTCACAAAAATAAAAAACCAAATGGGTTTAGCACAGTATCACTGGTGAAGTTTAACAGACTGAGACATGTAAGGCCAGGCTACACCATCTAACCCTCAGATGTTAAACCCCTAAACAATACATTCCCCCTTTAAAATCCAAGACATGACTCCCTAGGAGAATGTCACTCAAGTCACTGATTAATTCAGCTCTTAATTCTTACTTTCACTTTCTGTGGGTATAAAAACCTTCTTGTATCTGATAAAAACAGAGTGTAATATAATTCTCATTGAAAAAAATCTGGGTGGCTTATTGCCTAGTACATACAGCGTTTGCTATTCCCTTACTTGTAACTTTTCCCTTTCCATCTTCTTTTTACTTACACAACCCACCTTTCCCCCTTTTATTTCTTTTTTTCTCCACAGTTTTATACACATCAGCCTTGTTTTTCTAATTGTTTCAAAATATACTCTCTTTTTTTCATCTTCCTTTATCTTCTCTTTCTAAATCTCATGGCTGTTTTAAACTATTCTACAATTCCCTTTCAACTTACCCCACCTCAACCCACACTTGGCATCTCTTCTAAAATCTTCAGACCAAAGAGAAGGGTTACATTTACTATACTCTTATATGTGTTCTCTCTCTTCTTCATACTTTGTCATGTAAGGGCATAAACCAGCAGGAAAGGAAGCAGTGAGAAAATCTAACTGGATATTTAAGTTCTCTTAACCAGTTATACACGATAGAAAATGAAAACACATGAAAAAAATATGGGAAGTGGCAAGCCATCATTTAGCTTCTTGTTACGCTTTAAACCACTTTTGTCCCTCTTCCTGGGAATTACTTTGGCCAGTACACAGACCTCTATACATTGTTAAGGTAACATTCTTTTGCTTCAGGGGCAGTTTACACAATATCCCAAGGGATGGTGTTAATGCAGTTCAGTATCCACCATGTTTTCAAATAGCTTTATTTAAGCATTGTCTTTACCAGAGAAAGTTTCGCACACACTGTTGTTTCAAAATTTATTATACATGATGACCTAGGGAGCTAAACATCATCCTAACAGACCTCATTATTATTTTCAGCTATGATAAAATACTGACAGTACCAAGAAACAGGAGTTGCATGCTTCTATCCTAATTTGAGGCATTGCAAAGAGGGCTTATTTTTATAAAACATGAAAAATAAGTTCAAATTTTTTGAACTTAAGAAAAAAAATCTTTATTCTGCTGAAGATAAACAGGGAAAGATTCTTATTTCTGATTCACACCTACTCTGGTTTTACAAACATTTTCTCACTGTTGGTTTTGCTGCCTATGTAAGATTTATGGCATGAGTTGTTTCTACTAGTGGGGTAAAACAGGAATCCTCAACACACAAACACCATGGGAGAAGAAAAAATTACAGTACTGCTTTCCACTGTTCACATCACCAGCACAGACTGGAGGTGGCTACTGAATTACAAGTCTGAAGAGGTGGCCTGAGAGAGGCAGACACAGTCATCCTGTAGGCTTAATTACCTACAGGAAATATATAAGTGTGTGTAAGAGGCAATGTGAGGGAAAAGAGGAAAAAAGACCAACACCTCACAAGAAAATGTCTATATATAAATTGGCAGAAACTGAAAAAATAAAAACCAAAAACCCCAAACCCAAACCAAAACAACGAAACACCCACAACATGTAGATATAGAAGTACATGCTGGTTTTTTTATGGATATGCCTACTGAAACCGTAGATAAAACTCCATGTATTGTGGTATCATTTATAATACACTCTGATAGGATCAAGCCCCAATTATTCTGCAATAACACTAATACAAGTACAAAAGAAAGCCATTGTCTGTGGAGATCATGGCACAGGTGATACATCCATTTCAGGTGAATTGATGATCAGAACAAGATCCACAACTAATTAAGTTTAATCTTTCCTGCCCAAACTCATTATCCTTACTAAAGCGGATTTGCATAAGCCAATTCATACTACCTTTCTTGAATGATGCCAGCACATATTTTCTAAGATAAAACTACTGTTATCATTTGTACAATCTCACAATTTTTTTTCACAAGATCATTTATTGTGGTTTACTGGCATCAGTTCCTGGAATAGTAACCATTTATTGCATTTTGCAGGAGAAATAGCAGATCTATGCAAGCCAAGATTCCCAAGGAAAAAAATCACTTGTAAATGAGTTTTCAGAAGGAATTAAACTGACTTTTAAAATTAAACTTTGAGGTTTATGAGTTTCATATCCATAACTGCAAGACTAAAAGAATTAATGGAAGACTTAGACAAAAAATAACGGGGGAATAAGAAAAGGAAAAAAAAAATAAATGAAAGGATTTGTAATGATATAACTTCCCATTAACTAATTAGATGCCTTCTCTATTTGGAGCAAGAAAAGTCACAGCTTTTTATAAAACATTACCAGAAAAACTCATATTAAATTACAATCCTTGCATCTAAGTATATTAAATTATATATATGTATACATAATATATATAATATAAAAATTATATAAATTATAATATTATATTATATTAAAGTATATATTAATTCTCCCTTTTATTTTTTAGCATAATCTCTTATTTTTGTATGGTCTTATCGCCTTAACATGTATAAAGAATTTTGTGAAAAAAGATTTCTTTGTTCAACTTCTTAAAAATATAAAGCATCATTTAAGAACCCAGAAAAACACAACTGAACAGCATTTTTAGTATTATATTGCTAATTTTAATCTTAGTGCAAATTCCAGCTATTTATTCAGTAAGTTGCATAGTTTCTATCTCGTCATTATTCTACATTTAAAATTTTCCCATGCACTGAAAATCTCAAAGCACTTGGCAGATTATTGCACACATGGGTGACGTGTGAACAGATTCTGCAAAGTGTCATTATTTCATTCAATAGAGCATACTTGCAAACTACTTCAGTGTCTTTTGATTTGTCAGCAGCTGGTCTTTAATATCTGCCTGGTTTGAATAAAGCAGTACTTGCTGATATCTTTGCATTCTCTGTGCTGTGCCAAGAGTAGACCGACTCAGCTCCCTGTTCATCAAGTGTTGCTGAGACCTCGTTGCAGCAGCAACCTGAAATTGAATCTGCCGTGCTGGTGTGCGACAGCCCCACATCCTCTGTTACTTTCCACCCTCATAACTCAGCTGTGGCCCTTGCCAAAGCCTGCATCCCACCCTTCTGTTGTGCCCACAATTGTTTCCACCACTCCAACAGGAGGCAGGTTGGAGGTTTCCATTTTCCAGTTTTCCTGGCTGTGATTCCCTGATCCTCAGGGATCCCTGAGGATTCCCTGAGGGTCAGAGTGATGTCTGACCAAGGCAGCACAGGGAAGAATTAACACTTCACCACTAGCCTTGTCCTAAGTACACAGCTGATCCCCTTGGACCAGCTCACCAAATGAATCCTAAGGGATCTCATTTCTCTGGCATCAAGCCCCAGCAGCCTCGCATAAGAGGGGGGCCCACAGCAGTGCTGCTTAGAATGGGGGCACCAGTTCTTGCTGACAAGAGTTGCAGAATGGATATGGTTCATAACACAATTTCCACACTCCATATCTGAAACTCTGTAATTTCATATCAATTTCTGCTTCACCTCATACAGAGCTGGTATTCAGCCTTCATCTAGAAAAGGCAACTGGTATTATGGTTCAGGTATGCTCCTGCTTCCTTTGATGAGATGATTTGGAAAGGGGCTTTATAACATTTTCCTTTCTCTTATTCTAATGTTTTCTTACTTTAAATTTACCTTTTAATATTTGCAGTGACTTCCAACAGTAATTTCTTTGGAAATTACAGTATTCTCACTACACGAAAAGAAAGACTCTTAAAACTGAATAATACTTGAACCTGAGATGTGTGGAGGTTTACCATAAAAACATCAACTTGTAAAAGAAGAAGGTTTATTTAACCAGAAGGGAACATGGAAGCCAATTTAGAAAAGAGTTAAGATAGAATTTCTATAGTGGGATTCAGAATACTGGCGAATAATAAGCATTTTTTTTTCCTTCGCAAAGCTTCGCAAGACTTAAGTTAGGTGATGCAGATCCAAAGAAATCCTCAACCTTCATTCCATTCACATCATCTTTACTGCTACAGTTCTAGCTGTGGCTCTCTGCCAGGTGCTGTTTTCAGAAGCACTGTGCCCCTACAAAACCATCTCTGTGGGCACACACTTCATGGGCAGTTATAGAAGCAGCAAGGGCATGGAATATTTATCAAACCACTCTCCACCTTAGGCTCATGTGTCCTCATTCACATATATGAAATCATCTAAACCCTTTGCTCACTAGTTGCATTTACACAATTAGTATAAGCCCCCAACGGCAAAAAAATGAAAAAAATAAATATCAGTGTTAATTATCTTTAAACATTAACTTTTCTACCTAAGAAGCAGTCTTTCAAAATTAATCCTACAATAAAAACACTCTGCATTTCTTTTTTTTCCTTGTTTGACTAAACTTACTGATGGCTTAGATTTTGCCTTCTTTTCTTTTCCTTTGTCCCCTTTTCTGTTGCTGGTAAAGTAATGTAAGGTGCCATATTCCATCAAGGCAGCAAACACAAAAATAAAGCAAACTGAAACAAAAAGGTCCATTGCTGTCACATAGGAAACCTTTGGGAGTGACTTCCTAGCAATTGTACTCAGCGTTGTCATGGTCAGCACCGTTGTGATCCCTGTTTGAGAAAAAAAGAAAGAAAGAAAAAAAGACAGAAAGAGGGAAATTCACAGGTAATCAATCATATTGTCACAGAAAAAAGTCATCATATTAGCCCTTAATTCACTGATAAGAACTGACCCACAGGAGGGGTCAGTGGGTTCACCACTGATTACATCCATGTGCACTGCTGCTAGAGCAAGAATCCACCCTTATGGATGCAGCAGCCTCCATGGGATCATAGAGAAAGCAGCACATTTCACCTACCCTTTAAATCCCTTCTATTTGCAACACACACCAAATAAAAAATGACACTAATTTTGTAAAATTTTATAAATCTGACATATAATGTGCACATAAATACAGTAGAAAAACAGGTACAAATAAGCACACAAATTTTATAAGCACAAGTCCCTTAGATCAAAAGATTAAAATGTTAAAAAGGATGCATTCAGAACTAAAAGGTGCATTATTAATCAATGATTTCAAACTTTTGGTAAACACAGCAAACTTGAATAATATTTCCAGTTTTCTGCTTCTGAAAAAGACATAGAAAATCAAATTTGGTGTCATTCACAGCTTTCTGGTCTCATTGTCTAAGTTACCAGATATGCTTTCAACGCTGTCTTAAGTAAAAGAAAATGTTTCCCTTGACTCAATTACATACAAGCTAATTAAAAGAACAAACTGGCCTTAATAGCTATGTGTTCAAAATCTCAACTGTATCACCCTTCATTAGTTTAGCATTTATGAGGTGTTAACATTTTCTTCTTATATTTGATGTTTCAGGGAGATGCAAAGCGTTTTACATAGTAGTCCAAAATTAAGGTGTGACCTTTCTTTTTGGATGCAGTACTTGAATACACAAATAATTTGTCATCTATATGCACAAGATTATTAAAAACAAAACAGACAAAACCAAAAAAAAATCCCAAAAACAAACAACCAAACAAAAAAAGCACTGCACCAGGCTAAAGCTGTCTATGGCTCATAAATCAAAACATGGAATCACTGGTTGATATGGACTGTTTCTGCAGCAGGAAGGCACTATTGTTTTTCCAAGAGATTTCCCAATGAAATTGCATGCCTAAAAGGGCAAACATATAACCACAGAGTTCTTCCAAAGTTCTTCTCTCCCACCAGATACTTTTAAAGATAGATTTGGCATTTCTCTGTATAGCTAAATATTCAGAACTTTTGCTCTGGGAAACCACAATCTTCCAATACATATGAGAGAAAAAGGTCCAGCCTTTTCAGTGTACCAGACCCCACACACCCTCCGGGTGGGAAGTGCCACCCTCCATTCCCTGTATCGACTTCCTTTCAGAGAGGACAAAAAGAGACACAAATTTTTCCAGCCTTGGAAAAATTCCTGCTATGTGAAAGACATATGGGGCTGTCAGAGGGAGCAAACCTTCAACAGTAAAACAGTTATCTGAGGAATTCAAAGTTACCTGCAGGGAGCTGTAAATAAGATATTACAAATATTTGTATTTCATCTGGAGTAGATGAAGTCTAGTACTGAAGTGAGAGCTTGAAAACTTCAGCTTAAACATGACATAAGAGTTCTAGTTTCATGGCATATAAAAAGTACTTTGTAAAAAGAAAAAAATGGACAAAGAGCTAGAAGGATACTAACAGAACACTTTTTTCCTGTTATAACTATTGCATTGTAACTAGTCAGAATCCACAGTGATGCTCAATGATCAGTCAGTCAAAGAAATCTGGTGAGATTTCTGCATCAAGCTCTAAAACTATCAAAAGTAATTTTCTCTTATTTATTCAAGACTTTGACTCTCTTCACTAGATTTTTCAATACTTTCAAATAATATAAAGTTAGGATCCAAGACTTAGATTTTCTTCCCTTACCTTTTCATCAGTCTACTGAGCCATGCTCATTTTTGCTTACTATCTCTCTTGACTCATTAATGTGGCAGGCTTGCTGATGGTCCAGTTTCAGTGGGAAAGGCAGGGAATCAAAGTGTAGACTCATGCTTCTGGTAGTAAATGATCTTGTAGGGTGGGAGCAGTGTGTTCACAGTTATCATCCATAACCGATGAGGAAAATTAACCCACATGTCTAATTTCCTAAGACACAACTCGCAGCTCTTGAGCTTTCCCCCAAAACGGATCAGGCTGCTGTCACTGGTTCTACTGTGAGCATCTGTCCCTGCTAAGCTCACAGCTGTGTCCTGTGCACTCTGTGAACCCATTTATCAGGGTTTATGTGGGAACTACAACTTTTCTCCAAGGCAGCACATGAATCCTAAACATCAAACTCAGCAGACTGACACCATGCTAAACAGGTCAGCCAAGATGACACTAACACAGAATTATCTTTGTATTAGAACTTGCAACACACTTCAGTACTGTCTATAGAGAAAGCAAGTGGTTTTGTGAATTATGGGCTAAACTGCTTGAAGTGCAACTTCAGTTGCAAATTTTCTGTCCTATCCTGGGTCAAAAATAATTGAATGATCCCGTTAAAAACAAACAAAAAAACCCCAAACACAACCAAACAAAAACCAACCAAAAAGCCAATGCCAACAACACAAAAGCCCAACAAAAAAAAAACCAAAGCAGATTTTCACCATTTTTGCTACTAATGACTTCATTTGTTCCATGATGCTAACTGTCAGACTAATAATTGCCACATGACAGTCCCTGGAGATGATAAAAAAAATACATAACGAAGATAAAATGTATTTATGAGAGCAACAGCAGACCCACAAGACTTGGTTCAGGATCTCCATGCTCAGTATTGCTTCCTTAAACTCCGCCATGCAGCTACAGCAGGACTCTCCTACTCCCAATGATGCAGCTCAAGAGAGAGAATGATCATAATCTGAAGGGGAATAAACTGTGGTTAACTTACTCCCTGCTGCACCATTTGTATTCTTTGGGTGTACCAGATCCTTCAAGGATAAGAAAAGACATTCTTACCCAGAGAAGTCCTTGCAGGAACTGCATCCTTATTGATCCAAAATGACACCCATGAAAGAACAACTGTGAGTATACAAGGAATGTATGTCTGAATAGTAAAATATCCCATACGTCTGCTGAGATCAAAGAATATTGTCATAATAATATAATCACCTAAAAATTAAAAAAAAAGAATAAAAATATTTATTTGACATCTAGTATGGTTTTTGGTTGTATCTTCATCTGTTAGTCATGATATAAATAGATATTGCATAAAATAAAACTCAACACTTTGCCTTACCAGACAAGGTATGAGAAATTTCAGTTGTGTTTCGTAGACCTACAAATGCAAACTGATACAATCTCCAGTATTTTGGATCTGCCACTTCAACAGAGGTTTTCTTCCATTTGTATTCAATTTCATTTCTGGGATATCCATCTAGAATAAAACAAAACAAATCAAACATTCAGCCACAGAATGTACCAAAGCATGTTTTCTGATCTCTGAAGTTACTTATAAACTAAACCAGAGGTATAAATAAAGTAGATCTTAGACCATCTATAGTCTTCCTGACACATTTAAAATTTAACCAGAAAATATATGGCCTCGATTTTAAGCCTAGGTAAATGTAAGATCAATCAAAATCCACATAAATACAAATGTTTAGAAGGTGTATTCTCTAACTCCAGTAAAAAAAACTGGCTCAGAATCATCACTATTAAACCATAAGTGTCATTATATTATCATTAAATGATCAGAAAGAGCTTAAAAGTACAGACACTTATTAGTATATAATTTGATGGTTTAGGGAAGACCTCCTGAAATGAGGCTGTAACAAGATGGGAGTTGGCCTCTTCCCCCATGCAGCCAGCAACAGGATGAGAGGACACGGCCTCATGTCTGCATCAGGGGAGGTTCAGGCTCAGTACCAGGAAGAATTTCATCACTGAAAGGTTGTGAAGCATTGGAACGGGCTGCCCAGGGAGATGGTGGAGTCACCATGCCTAGAGATGCTCAAAAACTGGAGGTGGCACTTCATGCTGTGGTTTAGTTGAGAAACTGGTGTTCAGTCATAGGTTGGACTTGATGATCCTGGAGTTCTTCTGCAACCTTAATGATTCCATGATTACAATAACACAGCTCCCTAGGATTTTTTACTTCTTTCTAAATATAGTGTGCATAAAAAAAAACAGAGCTTGAAGGTTGTGTTTTTGCTCATACAAAGTAAGTCCCACTGAAAGGAGAAGGACTTCTTATACTGATTCAGCATTTACAGAAGCAGGCTAAAGAAGACATATAGTATTTTTCCTTTTAAGTATACCATATGGAACTAATTCAAAGCTGTCAAGTCTTGCAGGCATAAGAAAACAAAGTTTATCCAGGACAATGCATTTCCATTAACTGGCATAGGCATTGTATTAGACTCCGAAGCAATAAGAATATTTTAAAGTAGGAAAAAATGTATGTGATTCTACTTCTTCATTAGCGTGTTAAATAATGCAATAAATCTAGTCAAAACATGAATGGTCAGCTCTTTCTTTCACTGCAAGGCTTTAAAAAATAAACATTTGCTCTCCTGATGCCAAAATTTAGGTAAATTTAAAGCCTGAATGTAAAGAGGACAAAAAAGTGTTTTACCACGTACAGCTTGAAAACTCCAGAGGACAGGAGTGTTCATCCATAGGAAAATTATGAAGCTGAAGATAACATTCAGCATTAATTGTCAACCTAATTAGAAAAGGAAAGGGAAAAAAAAAAAAAAAAAAAAAGAGGAGAAAATAGGTTATACTCAAGAATTCAGACACTTTAAACTACAGAGTAAAGAACATGCACAGAAATAAATTTTGCCAATTAATGGATATTATGAATAGCCTCCTGTGTATCAGAAAAACAACATCCAGCATTAGCACCAAAGAACAAGAAATATTATTTCATGCAACTTGAGGATCTGTATTGTTTCAGTTTGTATTTCAAGCCATTTCAAAGATTTCAATTGATTTGGGGGCACCTCTCAGCTCTACAATAGGGGATAAAAAGTAGGGTCTGAAGAGAGGGGAAGGAGAGGAGCTTATGATAGCACATAAAGGATGTTTTTGTAGAACACATTTATCAAGTCAAATTGCATTTGGCATCATATCTTGTGGCTTTACATAATATAAAAATTGTGGGGGACATTGGACTTGCTCTATACTCATGGAAGCAGTTCTGGTGAAGACAGTATTTGGATAGAAAAAAGCAGACAATGTTGCTACATATTTAATGTCTAAGGCATTCAACAATTCTCAATTTATAAACATTTTAGAACCAGTTTAGGACTCATAATTGTCTGAACTAAATCACTTCCTGCTTTTAAAAATGCTATCACGGATTTTCACAGGACGTCCAAGCAGTAGGTGCAAAACCTGGTTCTGTTACCTTTCACTAGTAAGCCAAGTAAGGAGCTAGAGTCCAAACTGCCTTCTTTGCATTTAAAATACCTCCTCCTTTCTTGGCAACACTGTTAGAAAGTCAGAATGTCTTCTAAAATCAACTTTAAGAATTGCCAGAATGTTCACATACTTGACTGTGTACAGTGCTTATATATTAGACAAGAAGGGATGGGAAAAGACTCTCAGACATGCTGCCAGATAGTCTCATATCAAAAGTCTCTGAACAAAGTGTTTATGCTACACAAACTGACGCTACGACCTGACCAAAGGTTTATAAGGAAAAGTGTATTTCTTAGCATACACAGTGGGAGAGAGGAAGGAAGAGTCCCCACACTTTTAAGCAGAATACTTGCATCACTATGGAGATGCTTTACAAATTTGTCAACTATGATTTATACATTTATTGCCTTTACTTTCCACTTTCAATTTTTGGATAGTTAACCACTCAAAGAAAAAGCAAACAAGCTGTGCCTTGTGCTAAAAGCACCACAAGTAGATCTGAAATCAGTGATGGTGCAATGAACAGACCATGGGCTACCCTCAGAGGAGATTCAGTAAGTCTGTTGAAAATTTCCACCACGTCTGCCCCCTGAATTACCAGCAAGAGCAGTGATACAGAGGAATCCACAAACCTGGAGCACTGTCAGATCACATTATTGTTCCTTCAAAAAGCAAGATATGAACCTCTCCATGTTATTTTCCCTTAGGTTAAATTCAGGCCTTATCCTTGCCCATACAGATGTTTGCACGTTGCAGCGCTGGGTGAAAGCCTGTTCTGCTGCTCTGTTACCAGCTCGTTGCATTTTATTTCTCATACTCGGACTCAGTAATTCTAACCTATTGCCCTGTGAGGGCTCACGGGATTTTTTTTGCTCATATTTATTTCCTTCTGTTACTTTGAATCTCTTTAGAAGAAATTTTGCATTGAAAATGAATGGACGATGGAAGGGTAAAGTCCAAGTACGACTCTACCATTGCTAATTAGAATAAGAAAAAAAAACAACTTGGCATGTCAACAGAAGGGGGTCTCTAGAGGCTTTTATAAACAACTGGCATAATAAACCATTTAAAAAGTGCTCTTCAGAGATGTCTGCATGCTCTCAAACGATGCATACTAGGAAAAAACTCAGTGAAGAGAATCCTTGTAAAGCATTCTAATTCTTCTTACATTCGATACAGGAGAAATTTATAAATTGTTCATATAACATAGACTGCATATGAACACAGCATAAATGATTGAGAAGAAAGTAATTAAAAGTGCCACTTTTTGTTTTAAATAGATAAATAAATAAGGTCTTAATAATAAAATCATATTTATGGCAACCTCTGCATAGACTACTTCTTGATCAGCTCCTGACTTATTTCAAGACCTTTTTGGTATATTTAAAAAATATGACAGAGACGACCCTAAAATACTTTCTGTAGACTACAGCCTTTCAAGAACTATTTGAAAAGTGACTCAAAAATCAGTACAGATAGCCTTAAGCTTAAAAGCAGCACAGGAGTCTCCCATATGCCAAGAAGAATTATCACCAACATGTTTACTTATGCCTATTTTGGATGAACAGCTCTGTCGATTTTAATAGCTTGCAAGCCTAAATACATTGTGAAGTACATGCAGGACTGGGGCCTTAGCTTTAATCAAACTTCTTATAATTTTTATTATTTGAAGAATTTAATATATGGAAATTAGATTATGAAGTATTTAGACCAAAACTAATTTATCTGGGTATATTAATGAGAGACCGCCATGATGCTATATACTATTTAACACCCCTTTCTAAATCTTGCCTGTACCTAAATGAGATGAAAATTTGCTATCCCCTTCAGCTGTCCTTAGGCAATCATCTCTGCATTATATTTCAATACTAGGAATTTCATCTTTTTCATGATCAAATGATCTTTTTTATTTTCTTCTTTAATCAACTCCTTGAAAATTCCTGTGGTCTATAACGAAAGAGACACCAGGAATTTGATTTGTATTCATTATTTTCATATTCCTGGTCATAACAGGATTTTGGGTTTTTTTCTACCCAAATAATAAAAACCCACCTTAGAGTGTACAATACTCTTCCATCACTCCAGATTCGAAGCAAACGATTTGGAGTTGTAATCCAGTGAGCATCAGATTTCCTTGAGTTCCGGAAGAAAGTGTCTGGAATCCAAATTTTTCCAACCATATTGCTATTCAGCATAAGCACCTTCATTGAGCTGTTAAATTTTAGACGACTGTCATACCAAGTCTGGGCAAAAATTATATCTATAGTGTATTCCTAAAAACAGAGAAACAACCATATCTATGTTTACATTTACCAAAGTCTGCAAACCAACTGTTTTTTGACTCATATATAAATCTGAAGCCACTTCCTCTATTTTCTTTGGTGTTACCATTTGCACAGCAGCCAGCAGCCAGTGAACGCAGAAAGAGAGACAGAAGATGCACAGAGCCTTCTGTCCCCACCTCCTCTCCCCTGACACCCAATGAGTACTTCAGGAAGAAGATACGTGATGGCAGTGTAACCTGGAGGCTCCCACACAGTGCAATCACCTCGGGGCACCCTGGACAGAAATTTAAGGGCAACCTTATTACTTCAGGGTTAGACTATTTGTTTGTTAAGGGAGATATTCTACATCTTTCAAGAATCAAATAAAGCAAGCTTTCTATGTTTTCACCCACACTTTTCAACACACAATTTAACATTTTTCAAGAAATTTCAGATTACGAAAAATTCACGAATATGTGGAAATTAAATATGACAGTTTGCAGAACTATCTCTTACCATCTGCCTTGTACACCTACCAACATACACACAAAAGTATACATAATCACAGACAGGAGGGAAATTTCCCTAAAGAAATTCCACTTTACTTATTAAAGCCTCAAGGAAGCTCCTTCTGTAATAGAAATCAAATTCATCTGTAGACTTGTGGCCAGAAAAGAAAGGTGAAAAACAAAATAAATAAATAAAAGGAAACCCCTATTTATGAAATAATTCTTGACACAATAGAACTTGTGAGAGATAAGCAATACAGCTGCATAAAAGAATTCTGATTTTTGAAGAATCCAGCCAGTTGTTTCTGCCCTTCAGACAAAGAGGTAAAGCAGCAGCTCTCCATGTTGTCAGACCATACTCCGATCTCAATGGCATTGGCCTCACCACCCGATGGCAGATGTGATCTTTCCTGCACAGCTGCACCATGAGGGCTTCCATGAGAAACTCAGCAGCTCCCCTGCAGGGAAAGAGCTGGAGACCAGACTGAAACACTCAGTGCTGGTTGTTCACCTCTCAGCTGTTGAAGGGACAGGCAAAAGTGAGGAAGAGACAGTGTTCGCACTCTTGCTTGAGCCAAAGGGGTTAGCACTAGTTTACTTGATCAATAAAAATGCATCATGTAGTCAATCCATTCTGTTTTTAAATAAAAGCTGAAGGCTTCATTGATTGGAGTGGATTTTTGTTGTTGTTGTTGTTCATTTTCCTTTTAAGCAACCACAGCAGCCAACTGTAAAAGTTACAGATTCTTCACTAATTTCAGCAACTGATACCACCCATCTCTCAGCAAAGTTTGAGAAATTTGGCATTTCATCCTTGAGAACTACAAGGCAGATATTCTGGGACTATCTTAATCTCTCTTAATTTTCTCACCTCTCCAGATGGGAAAGTGCAAGTTCAGGAAACAGATATACTAGAGGGAGGTTTCCTCTTGCTCTGTGATGTATGGCAGATGAACTATCACCTGAACTGTGGTAATTCAGTGTTTTTCAAATGTTTTGAACAACTAATGCATGAGGCAAACAGTGGAGAGACAGAGAGAACAAAAAGACTACAAAAAATGCATTTTTAAGATGACTTTGTTCTAAAACTCTGCATATTTCTTGAGAGTCACTGCCATCAGAGAAAGATTATACAGGTCAAAACGAGTCCTTGATTTTTATTTTATTTTTTTCTGTAAACAGAATTCCAGATACCTGTGAAAACCTTGGAACTTTTTAACCTTAAAATTCAGCTTTCTGTGGTCATTTGTAGTGATTACAACTGAAAATGAAACTTGCCTTGCTGTAGCATAAAGGAGAGCCCAAGGCAATGCACCAGAGAAGTGTTTTAATGGGCTTTAATGGAACAGAATGAACAAAGATTTATGCATTGCCTTTACAGTACAAATAAGAAGAAAAATAAAGAAGTGAGCGAAATCAACAGACATGATAAAATGTACAAAAAGTGAAGATTGAGTTTGAAGGTTCAACTCCAAGCAGCTACTTCACAGTAGCAATGCCTGGTTTGAGAAGAAAAAATATCAGTTATTATAGGCAAATCCATACAAGCAAGAAAAAGCAGCTTGTCATAGAATACCAACCACCCTAATGAATTAGAATAAAAAAGGAAGATTATCTTGAACACAAAAAACAAGTGAATGGCCTCAGCACACTCAGATGCTTGCATTCTTTTACCTTTCAGTATTAAATATATAAGTTTGTATCCTGTTAAACCCAAACAGCAGCATTGTGCCAGCTACTAAGGAGAAACTTAGTTCTATCCCAGATGAAAGCAGCGTGCCATATATTAGAGGTCCTGTTTAGAAAACTTTTGGAAAAAAAAAAAAACAAAACACAAAAAACCCTTAAGAACATTTCATGGTATATTTATAACTGTTCAGTATACAATAATTTAATTATTAATCCAGTACACAATAATTTAACAACAGAAAATTAGTAACTGCATGTTTCCAAGTGGCTTGCTGAATATCAAATAAGATCCAAGTTCTAGCCTCTTGTAACACACCTGAAGAGAGCTGCCCTCCATTGATAAGCTCACACCTCTGCACTCAGACATATCTCTCCCTCTCCCTCAGGAATCAGCCAGCTACAGGCATAATCCTGTACCATTCATCCCACCTGAAAGACATGGACTTTCAGACTCATGGTGAGTGGCAGCAGCAGCAGCTCACCCTGCTCTTCAGCAGATGCTCTGACTTCACCCAAGAACACTTATTCCATTTCTACCATCAGCCTTGGTGACACTACTGCCTATTTCTTCAGCATATCTATTTATACTATGCCTCCCTGAGACCTCTCTGTCTTTGAGGGTCCATAATACATCCTGAGGTGCCACATATCCTTCACAAAATGCATCTTACATGGGACCACATTTTTAGTTCAAAATATTTTCTACTTCCTTTTAAGAAAGGGAAATCTGGGTCCCTAAAATTTGTTAAAAATTTGATAGAAAAATCACCATATTGTCTTTTCTGAGAGTACTTTATTTCTAAAACAAGATGAATAAAAGCTCATTCATTTTTTCAGAGACTGTGGAAGCAAGCACAACAGCAACAAAATTCATATATTTATAAGATTACTTATAATATTTTTTTAGTGCAACAAATCTTTCTAGTCAACTATTTTGCTTTCCTTGTTTCCTCAGAAAACTTAAAATTAACACTCCTATCACTTCTACAAGTCTTTCATGAAACTCACCATTTAATGCCACTGTGCAACCATAAAAATTGGTTTACTACTCTCTCTTTCAAATTAAACTAATGACAAAATAGCCATGTAGAATAAAGTGAATCCATCTATGGCTGCATTAGTCACAGCCATAGCAGAACACATGGTTATTCATATTTAACCTCACAGGGTTCAAGAACAATGGCACATATTGGCTCATATTTGGCATTTGATTTAATCACTGAGCACTTTTTTTTCACAGCTGGCATAAAGTGCCCACCTGCCCAATTATTTACAGATAACTTCAATTCTCCTGCATCTCTTTCCTCTCTAAAAGATCTTAACGAATTCCAAAGGGTGGGAACAGTGTGACTAATCACAGATTACCATTAAAGGGCCAGGCATTGCACAAATTGTGACTATTGACAAACAGATTCATAGCCTGAGTGAAAGTGAGTGAAAGTCATTTTATATATAAATAAAAATATTCATATCTAATATAATATTATATATATATTTAATAAAAATATTCAAACAAAGCAGGAACAGCAATTGAAAGGGGTTAAATAGAATCCTCAATATTTTGTCATGAAATTTTGCCATTTGTCTCATTGTTTGGCATTTTGTTTTATTGTCACAAACAGTTCAATTACAGTCAGACTTGAAAATAGGTCAGTGGATTGCTCTTTTTTATTTTTTTTTTTACTGGAAAGCTGTGAAAGAAAGAGAGGCAGATACCTAACAAAACTCTTTCTCATTATAAACTGCATCGCACAAATTCCAATATAATATCAATAAGGACAGGAAAAAATCTAACAAAGAAGAAAAAAAGAATTCTCGGATATTTTTCCTGACAGTCCAACAACTGATTTGATATCCCACAATAAAAAAATTGTGGAGAAGGCAAGTAACAAGTAGCTGGATTGTTGGCTAGATTACATTAAATGCAACACATCTTGTTTGAGAACAGGAGAAAGTGGCCTAGTTTCATGAGGCCAAACAGAAAATCAAGGAAGAGTCCCAAAACCAAACTCAGCACTAAAAAAATTGATGCAAACTACAGACTTACAATGCAGCTAATGACCACTGAATTTCATAGAAAAATGAATAAAAACATATTCCTATCATTTCATCTTTGTTCAGAAACTCACCCCAGCTGTTCTTCCAGACTCAAAATTTTGTGTGAAGGGCACCTCAAGGTTCCTGTAATGGCACATTCTGAAATCTGTTTCATATGGAGCCCCTCAAAGCAGTTCAGCTAACAAGTTGACATGACTTCACTTTTTTCAGTTATTTTATCATTCTATTCAGCATTCTAATTCCTTAAACTGGAATTGGATGTCAGTGAGGCAGGGAATTTTTCAGGAAAAAAATTAAGAAGGGGAAACTAAAGAAAGCATTTCACTAGTCTATATGTTTCCACAATAAGAGATACGATTTAAAACCAAATATCAATTTAGTATTCTGATGAAAAGATTTTAAAAACAAAAAATGTAATAGACAAAATCAGTAACCACACGCTTTCCTAAGAGGTAAGCACAAAATAAAGCATCGAGCATTAGCCAATTTATCTTCATCTTCCCAGGGTGCTGCCAATAAACACTCGTAACCTTTACCTTTTCCCTCACCCAAATTTCTTTGGACATCAATAAGGGGTTATAAAGTAATTTATTAAAATACTTAACCTATCCTTGATGTATAACCTCTCTTAACAAAATGTTGAAAATGTGGCTACTCTCCGTGGTAGGTTACTTTAAAAGCCCTTTAAAGAGATTTTTTGAGCTGCTTCAGGGTCAACGATGGTTTCAGAACTTAATCCACATGACTGAGACC